ACAGCACTCAGAGCTCAGTGCTCACCAAAAAGGAGGGGCGGGCTAAGGACAGCACTCAGAGCCTCAGTGCTCACCAAAAAGGAGGGGCAGGCTAGAGTCTGTTTTGTGGTCACTTTATACTGTCATCACGGTTATGGGATGCTACCTGTTAACAAGATATTCCAATGATGAGTCTAATCATTTGTTTTAGACTGTGCTCTCTCTGTTAGCCATTTTGATGTATATTTACTGTGTTTCACAGTGTACAAAATCTGATCTTAAAGAGATTTTTAAGACACGATATAGATAAGAAATCTTATCAGTAACAATGAGATTTTATAACATTCCTTACTCTTGGTTATAGAAAGAATATCTATCATATGGGGGAACTTAGTACAAAAGCAGAGTACATTGTTCCATGTGACTAGTCAGCTAGGTTCAGGACTTCCTTTGGGAGGGAGGGGAAGATGGCTAATACTCGGGCTGGAATGCAGGGCCTATGCACTGTCCCTTAGCTTTTTCAGCTCAAGGTTGGTTCTCTACCACTTGAGACATACCCCCACCTTCAGATTTTTTCTGGTTTATTAGAAATAAGAGTCTCATTGGGCTGTCTTGAACTGCAATCCTTGTATCTCAGCTTCTGAAGTAGCTAATATTACAGGCATGAGCCACCAACACCAGTTTCTTCGTTGCCTGGGTTTGGTTGGCCAGTATGGTTTATTCTGTTCCAGGTATGAGGCTAGGTATTGCTTGTACTCCTAACTTCTGTCCAACTTGGACCCTAGTTCAAATTTTCCCTTCTATCCAGAGACCCTTCAGAACTGCATGTGGGAGTTTCTTCCCGGCTTTGTGTGGGAACCTTTGACACTGGGCAGCCTGGTCTGAAGTCCCTTAGATGATCCCTCCAGGCTGAGGTATTTTTCCTTTATGACAAGTTAACATTTCAGACCCACAAATGTGTTGTGTGCTGCTTTGTGCAGTAAAACCAGAAGCCCTCGCTGCCTCGTCCATCCTCCCAGTCCTGCTGTGGGCAGTGTAGTGGACATGTAGTGAACACCATTAGCCACTCTGAATATTTGTCTGTGAAGGAAAATCACTGATGTGTTGAAGAGAAATGGGTTTGCCTCAGGGTCTGGAAACCTGCTTGTGTTTGTGGGCCACAGGCAGGAGCCCTGCAAGAAGGAAAGGTAGTGGGATGGAGGGAGAAAATAGCAAAGTGGATCAACACTAGGTAGATAGTCAACCTGCTGGAAAGGACCCCTTCACCCCTGATAGGGAGGGAGATAAGACGTGGAGGAGAAGGCTTTGCCAACAGTGGAACAGTGAGGAATCAAATGAAATGAGGTGATCTAGTCTGCTGCAGAGGGCCTGGCACTTTGCACTACCATTAAAGTTTTGAAATCTCATACACACCACTGGAATTTAGATTCCTCACTTTGGGGGTTGGAAGGACTGGTAAGTGCCAAAACCCTGTCACTTCAGGGTGACCGTGCATCCTGTTGTCTGTGATTGCTTCAGCCTTGGTCAGTGTTGATTTGGTGGTAATCGGAGAACTGTGTGGTAAAACTGAGGTCTTGATTTTGTAGCTTTGTTACTGGGGTTTTTTTTTTTGTTGTTGTTGTTTTGTTTTGCTTGGCTTCCTATCCAATAGAGATGTCTTTTTTTATTTTATTATTTTATTTGTGAACATACTGTACAGAGGGGTTAAAATTACATGGGCAAGATAATGCATACATTTCTTACCAAGCATTGCAGCCTCCTCCTTTGTTTACCCTTCACATCCCTTCCCAGCCTCCCCCCTCCCCCCCCAATAGAGATGTCTTACTGGGAACTGGGAAATCTGGCCATTGTGCTGCATTCTGTCTATAAGAGTGGTGTTAAAGGGCAAAGCCAGATCTAACTTCCCAAAGAGCTGGATTTAGAGTCTGATTATGAGTAAGTCTATGGCGGTGATTGAGATGGGTGGCATATCTGGATGAGATTACTAAACAGTTGATTATAACTAACTGCTCAGCACACGCTGTGCTGGAGTATCTCAGCGGAAATGCTGACCCTTGTGCTGCGCTCCCTTGGGGGAGGGTAGGAGCAGTGTGCTTTCAGGTGCTGTGAGCACTGTTGGAGAAAGCCAGTACTGGGTAAGGACTAAGAAGCACCATGCCAGGCCACAGGGGCACATCACACTTTGGGTGACACCCAGACTCCCAGTGGCCCTCAAGTTCACAGTGGCTCAAAGTAGACATGACTCAAAGCCAGCAGTGCTGTTCCATACTCAGAAACTCAAGTCTGCAGAAGCTGAATTGCTGACGTAGCACAGCAGAGTGTCCTCCCAGGCTTCTGGAGAAGTAAATCCTTCCCCATTTTTTCAGGGATTAGCAATTTCCTGTTTCTTCTGTGTGTTGATTCTCCTTTTTTTTTTTTTGGTTAGTTGTGGAGCTTGAACTCTGGACCTGGGCACTGTCCCTCAGTTCTTCAGCTCAAAGCTAGCTCTCTACCATTTGAGCCACAGCACCACTTCCAGTTTTCTGGTGGCTTTTTGGAGATGAGTCTCATGTACTTTCCTGCCTGGGCTGGCTTTGAACCTCAATCCTCAGCTCAGCCTCCTAAGTAGCTAGGATTACAGGCATGAGCCACCAACACCAGCTTTCCTTTTTTGGGGGGGGTGGTCAGTCGTGGAGCTTTAACTCTGGGCTTGGGCGCTGTCCCTCAGCTCTTCAGCTCAGGGCAAGTGCTCTACCTCTTGAGCTACAGCACCACTTTCGGTTTTCTAATGGTTTATTGGAGATAAGAGTCTCACGGACTTTCCTTGCCTAGGCTGGCTTTAAACCATGATCCTCAGATCTCAGCCTCCTGAGTAGCTAGGATTATAGGCGTGAGCCACCGGTGCCCGGCTCCTTTTTTTTTTTTTTTTAAACTCTTATGTGCCTTCTTTTAAAAAATATCTGGAGAAGCTGGGGCCATACTTGCCTGGTTCCACACACACATGTATTTATACATGTATGTACGTATGTTGATTTTGAAGTGAGTGAATGGTACTTATCTGCTAATGTCATCCTCTGTGCTTAGTAGTATAGTTTGGTAATTTTCCCTGGCTACAAGAGAGGCCACCCATTTTTTTTTTTAAACTTGCTTCCTTGATAGGATTACTATTCTCCGGACTTCTTTTCTTTTTTTGATTCTGTTTTTGTTTTTGCATATGAATAGCACTGCTACAATTTAAGTGTTGTAAATAGTCTTCTTATTAAATACTTTTCCTCACATATGGGAAAAAAATCTCCAGGATTTAGTCCTGGGAGTCAGACGATTTCTGGAACAAAGGCATAAGGACAGTAAATTTTGGGAGACAAAGCTTTTCACCTTTGGTGGAAGAGGACTCAGGCTTCTGGGGGTGGACTCAAGAGACAATCCCACTTGTCTGTGGGGATTGCTGCCAGTTTCCCGGCATCTCCTTTGGTATCTGTTTCAGTTTTAAGAGCTTTGCTAATATTTTAATTTTTTGATGGTTATTCTTTTTTCCTTGGTGAATCATCTATAATTGTTGCCCATATTCCATTGAGTTGTTTATCTTTTCCTTCGCAGTTTCTAAGGACTCTACATGGTAATATTTGCTACAAACACTCTCCTGTTTATTATTTGTTTTTCATATTGTTGGGTAATTTTTGTTACTTTTAAAAATTGAATTGCATCTCTTTTGGTTGCTAGGTTTTACATGTCTATTAAGATCCTTCCTGTACTTTAAAGTATTTTTGAAGTATGAAAGTATTTTATCTGTACTTCCCTTGTATACTTATGTCTGCTATGCATTTGGTCTTAAAGAGTGAAGGAAGAGCCAGCCTAATGTTTTCCAAACAGCTAAGCATTGTCTTAATACCAGTTTTTGAGCATGCTGCCTTGCTCCTCAGAGTCTTTATAATTGAGATTTTCTCAGTGGTAAATACTTTGTGCTTAGAGTAGCATCTCAGAGAGGGCAAGGTGGCTGGCTTGGGCGTGACATTGTATGACTCCTGCAGATTTCAGGGCACTGAAGGCTTGTGCATGGTGGAGGAGCTGAGAGCTGCACTTGTTGGCCAGATGACCCTGGCAAGGGGCCCTGGGGTGAGCTGCAGGTTCACCCCTCCCCTGAGGTTGACACTTCTGCAGAAGAGGTTTCAGTCATGAGAATGCATTTGACACTAGATGTTCTTGAATAGGTGAGGATTGTTTTTGCAGAAATTGAATCTACTTTATTGGTTGGTATTTATAACTAACCCTGTAGAAGTCACTGATCCTGTTAAATGGAAGAGTTCATCATAACATTCCCAAGGTAACAAAAACGGAGTTTTCCATCAGTGTGGTGTAACTTAAGACTAAGTATTAAGTTAGTAAGCAAAACAGTGTCTTCAGAGTATTGAAATCCGTGTATCATCAAAAGCGTCTGTCCACATGGAAGTAGTGAAAGCTTGTGGGCCTGTCACCTGTGTGGGACTGTCTCAAGTGCTGTGGACAGAGCTTGATCAGCTGATGCGGGGGGGGGGGGGAGGGTGCGGTGCGGGACGGCAGCTGAGCACAGGTTCAGATGCCAGGCCTGGGAGAAGCCGGTGACGGCACCTCTCTCCTGCTGTTGGTTTTTGCCAAAGAATGGTAACACATAGGAGTTGAAAAGGCTTGGGGTTAAATCATAGGTTCCCTCACTGTTGCTGCAGGAGAAATTTGGGATTTTTGAGGAAGCACATGTATCTCTTAATTAGGTATGTTTTCGCTGAAATGCAGTGCAGACTAGAAAGGGCAGGGCTCTCTGTGCAGGGTAAGCCGGGGGGAGGGGGTTGAGGTGGGGTGGGAGGGAAGCTGCCTGGATAACACCAGCACACAGCTTCCCCAATGACATCAAAACTTCTGTATGGCAGGGGCAGGAAGTGTATTTCCCCAGCTTCTATTTCCTTAAGACCGGAATGTGACCAGAAGCTGGGCAGGCCTCCACACATTCTAGTGTCTTACTGTAAAGCTGCTTCTGGGACCTGTCCAGCTCACACTCAAGTAACTAATATTTATCTAGATATTAGCGTGGACTCCATGAAAAAAATTGGAAAATGAACTAACTTTAAAATGTGTTCATGACTCTTTCTTTTAAGATGAAGATAATGTCCTAAATTGAATCAGGAACCTAAATTTGATGTTTCTTGTTTTTTGATAATGAGCCATGTTTCCACAAAATTAAAGAGTGTAATTTAGTATATATTGACTCAAAAGGGAAATTTAGAACATTGAAAATAATGGTATGATACACTTTACTTGGTAATTTGTGTGTTCATTTGATTTAATGTGGTGTATATGAATGACATAAATATTATAAAGGGTTTCTGTTCAGAATAGTATAGCTTGGGCCAGTCCTTTCAGTGTAACTTTGGCAGTAAAAGTTTTCAATTTGTAATTACTACTGTAGTTGAATGAAATAGCCTTATATTAAGTGGTTTTGTTTTAAAGATAACTTTTAACATAGGCTCTGAGATATTTTGCTTGGGATAGCAGTAGAGAGACAAGATGACTTGAAGTCAGCCACTTGTAATGGAATGATGTAGGGTCTGGCAGTTTTTCTGTAGCCCCTGTGGTTTCATTCTGTTACCATTTAGTGTACAGTGCCCTGGCTTCTGCTCCCAAATCAGAAGTGAGGCAGAATGGGAGCTAGGTAGGTAGAGCTCCAGGCTCACGGATGAGGTTGGAACACTTGATGTTACCTTCCAGCACTAGAAGCATTCATCCAGGACTGGTTGAATGAATGAGAGCCTTACTTTGATTGGAGGAGTCTGGTAATCTTCATGTACTTGTAGCATTGCTGTTGGTATAGGTGTTCTGACTACACAGAAATAGATTTCTTTGGGCTGGACTTTTGTGAGAGCTCAGCATTACAGTTGGCTTTCTTGTCCTGGTATGTGCATGCACACACGCGCACACGTGTGCACACTCACACACTATCTATCTATCCCATATATGCACTGGTAATAGTGTTAAGCTTAACCACAGAAAATGAATGTGTCATCGCAGAAAATGAATATTACTTTTGTTTTCTAGAACTCACTTGAAATTAGGTAGTCAGTATTACATACCCAGCAGCTAACATCAGAAGGACATCTTTCCATTGAAAGTAGGATTGTCTCTGTGTAAAAATGTGTACATTTTCATTTTTTTCTGATATGCATAGTGTCATGTTACAGATTTCATTCCATGATCATTTGTTCATTCACATGTATTTTTATTTTTAGCTCTAAGCGAAAGAAAGACATGAGGCCTCAGCTGAAATGAGGTGCTTGTGAGGTCATCCGATTTCTGGCTAGACGTGTGCGGTCCACGCCTCCTGAATCCACTTCACACACAATGGTAATGGCAAAAGCTGAGGGACAAAGAGGGCCTCATGCCCCACGTCTGTTCCCTTACCCTTTATCTTCTTTAGGAGATCCACCAAATCCTTCAGGTTGAGAACAAGAAGCCTTAACATATGACATATCTTAACTAACTTCAAATGTTTAACACTGGTGTTAACCAAATAACCATGCGCTAATCAATAACCAGACATTTTGGATGTGTTTAACATGGATTTTTTTTTCCTAAGGAGCTCTGTGAACTACTTAACTATGACAAAAGGTTCACTATGTCAAAAACTTGAGTCTGTAGGAATTTTCAGATTGAATTTTTTTTTTTTAAAGTAGTAGGGCTTAATTCTTAAACAGCAGCAATCCAGGCTTAATATGTTTTTCAGGCTAGAAATTAGGGATTTTTGTCACATTCTTTTCCTGTGGTAAAGAATTTTAAAGGTTTGCTTTAGTTATATGTACAAAGTTGAAGGCAATAAAACTTTTTCATTGGAATACAAGTTTTTTCAGAGTTCATTATTTAGTTTATGTTTATAGGCTGTACAGGCATTATAAATTGATAGACTTTGCAGTCACACTGCAGATTTTACACTAAGCTGTTAGTTCTGATAAGTGGTTCCCTGTCTGATTTCATTTCTTATTCTGCATGAAGTAGCATTGATAGCAAAATCAACACACAAATTTACTTCTTTTTACCTATGTTATGCAGTTGTTTAATTGATGAGATGCTGAGAAAATTAAATTTCATCCAAATTGGTAGAGCAATACAAAAAGCAAATTCTAAGTCTGTTCGACAGAGAATATTTTTCTTTTTCTTTTTTTTATTTTTTATTTATTTATTTTTTTAGTCCAGTCGTGGGGCCTGAACTCTGGGCCTGGGCGCTGTCCCTCAGCTCTTCAGCTCAAGGCTAGCGCTCTACCACTTGAGCCACAGCGCCACTTCTGGCTTTTTTCTTTTTGCTTATGTGGTGCTGAGGAATCGAACCCAAGGCCTCAGGCATGCAAGGTAAGCGCTATACCACTGAACCAACTTCCCAGCCCAATATTTTTCTTTTTAAAGAGGTCATGTTTGTTTTCAGGTTTTCTTTTAGAGGCTCAATTCTCTGCAGAGTTTGCTTATCTTCTTAATCTTGTTAAAAGTGACATAAAATTTAGGGGAAAATTTTTTTTTCCCCTTCATGTATGTGACATTTTGTAATGATAAGAATTGTTCACATGTACTAAGAAAACTGCTTCCTCATGCTGGTCCCTGTAGGGTTGCCCGTAGGCCTGTCTAGCCTTGTTCTAGAGAAAACCAATGAGTCAAGAGTTGTATTCTGTTTTACCAAATCTCCTGATGAGGTCTTATATACTCCCCCCGGAAATGTGAACTCTGAACTCTTGGTTTTCAATAGAGTAATTTCTGAGCTGGTTTTATATTTATTTATTTATTTATTTTTTGGGTCCGGTCATGGGGCCTGAACTCTGGGCCTGGGCGCTGTCCCTCAGCTCTTCAGCTCAAGGCTAGCGCTCTACCACTTGAGCCACAGTGCCACTTTGGCTTTTTTTCTTTTTGCTCATGTGGTGCTGGAGAATCGAACCCAGGGCCTCAGGCATGCAAGGCAAGTGCTCTACCACTGAGCCGCCTTCCCAGCCCCTCTGAGCTGGTTTTAAATGTCATGGTCTTGCCCACAGTAGAACGTGTTTGTGTAGTACCAACGTCTCATTGCTGCCAGGTAAGCATGGAACGTGCTTCCGTAGTCATAGCACTCCGGAGGCAGAGGCAGAAGGACGGTGGAGTCCAGGAGTTCAAGTCAAGCTTGAAGAACAGTTAATAATAGGTGTATTTTTAGAAATTTTAATATCTTCTGTTTATTCAGAGAAAAATTATTTTTCTTTTTCCTTAAAAAAAAAACCTGACTAGGTCAGGCATTTTTGAGGTTAGAGAACTTTTGAACAACATCTTTCTAATGTGCTACAAGTTAATTAATGAACTGAAAAGACTAAAAGGATTATTAATGGACTAAAAGTTTCTAAAGGTATGAGTTGTACAAGAACAAAATTTGATTTTACTTAGGTACAGAATGACTTCATGATGATTTCTTTAAGAGAAAATAAAACTAATACTGTTTTAAAGCTTCAGATTTAAGTGTGGAAATGTTTTGAACCAGTAAGTAGGTGCTATATATGTATATATATATATATATATGTTTAATATTTTAATATATGTAGCCTGCCTTATTTTAAAGCAAAACTTTAATATTAGACTTAAAAAGAAATAAATCTAAGATGAAAAAAATTTAATGTTAAAATGTTTTGAAGTAATAAAAGTAAATAACCTTTTCTAAGAATTCTTTTCCTTTGATGTTGTTTAATTTTTTTTCCCCTTTTTGTTTTTTAGGTTTGAAATTTTTTTTTGGTGATGGCATGCTCAGAATCTTGGAGCCCTAAGTTGAATATATTGGAAATTTAGGAACCTTGGAAATTATGTTTTCTCACATACAAATAATAACTTGCTAGGTGAACTAGCAGATTTAATAAAAGTATGAAAAAGAACTTTGTGTTTCTAAGTCAGCAGGCATGTCTGGTATTACCATCTGTGCTCTGGAGACATTTACCTTTTGAAGGTTTTGAGTTCTTTGGACCTGATATTTTATGTAGTTTCTTCCCATGCCTGTTTGGTTAGCTGATTTTCTTTTCTATCTATCTTGTAGTGTAGATTATTTAGATCAGAATAGTTATTATTCATCAGAATAAAAAAGTAGAAATAAATCCAGTAAATAATCTTAAATGCAATAGCCACAAAATTTCACTCTGCAAATGGTCTCAAATGGTCTGTATGAGAATACACTACCCAAAGTATATCCAAATATACCTATTGGGGAAAAAACTACTTGTTTGTAAAATCTGACTTTATTATGTAGGACAGAAGTGCTAGTGAGTTGCGAAAGAAGCTTCTCGCTCACCTCTTTACTTTTTGGGTGAGTGATTGATGCTCAGGAACAGTTTCACATAGGAGTTTATTGCAGGTATTTTTATTGGTGGAACTGGTATTCTGAGGTCCGAGCAAGTCCTGAGGTTTGTACTGGAAGATGAAGGGCCTCTCCATTACTCTCCCGCTTGCTTTTGTTATAAGGTATAGTCACACACACACACACACACTCACTTTGGTTTGTTATGAGATAGAAAACATTAGATGGATATTTAAACTTGTACTTAAAAGATAGCACATTGAGAACATTAGACGTTTAAAATCAACTTGCAGTTTAATCTAAATGTATGTTGCCTGTTTAGCAGTTTTTCAGTGATGACTGGCTTTTTCAGAGCTCCTTCCTTTGTCGCTGGAGGTGTCTCTTTCTCACTGGTGCCAGCCTCAGCATTGCCTGGGCTTTGGCATTTGATACACCCACAAGGAATTCACCAGGCAGAGAAAAATTTGGTCCCCACTGGAATGAATATTTAAAGACCTTCTTAGATTCTGAAAACTGAGTACACATGAAAGAGACCAGAGAAATAGTGAGGGTGGGTGGGAGTTAAGCTTGTAGAGCTAACCTAAGTGCAGCCAGGTAGGAGCCAGAGGTGTAGATGAAGATGAGCCGTGGGAAGCACCTTGGATAGGAGCCGCCTGGCACGCTCTGGGGAGCTCAGGAGCGTGCTGCCGTGCTTAAGGGCGAACTGTAAAAAGACGGGTGCATTTACCAACAGTGAGTTTGATTTCATTCTAGAATATCTAGTGGAACTGTAACTCCAAGTAAATATCCCTACAATGTTGAGCATGGTGGAGAAGCGAGGATATGAATAGAGTCGGGTGTTTGGTGGGCATATCCTAGAAACTGGTAAATAAATCTTGAAATGTGTTTTCAGGTTTCTGTTGGCCTCAGTTGTGATGACAAAGCATTTTGGTGGGGCTCAGGGGAAGCCTGTGCCTTTCTGGGTCACTGCTTCCCAGCCTGGCACACCACTGATACATCAGAGATGGAGGAACAGCTTTGCATGAGTTAGGCCCAGAGAAAGTAAGCTAAACCTCCACCTGGAAATCTGAAGGAGAAGCTAGGGCTCCTTCCCTAAGAAGACCACACATGTGAAGTGTTGTCACAGTATCTGGGCTGGCAGTAGTAGCCCCTGGCCGCCTATGATGCTCTCTTCCTTCTACTTCTGCCCTCACTCCCAGGTTGATCTCCCTCTTCCCTGGCTCCTCTGCCTTTCCACACAGACACCTGTAGTCACCACAGAGTGCTTCCTTGTGACAGGGCCAAACTGCAGAGCTGGGGGCAGAGAGCAAACAGAAGAAATGGATCCTGAGGCCCTGGGGAGGGCAGGGGGCGGGGGGGGGGGCTGCCTTCTGCTTCCTGCCTTCACAGGAGCTGTAGTTCAGAATAACTCCAAGCTTTAATTTTCAGTGACTGTACTTTTTCTAAAACTTTTAATTATTATGAAGATGTTTTTCTTTAAATGTGACTTCTGTCTTCAAATTTCAAATTCATGGCATAAAATTATAATAGTGACTAGAAATGTGTACATTGTAATAGTGATTGGGATTGTTGGTGGCTTTTCCACTTGTAGCCCATTCTCAGGGAAATCAAGATTCCTAGATTATTCCATCGTTAGTCCTTTTAAGTTTTCTGGATGTGTGACTCCTGCTTTTACTAATATATCTGTAAGTATAGAAAAGAGTGTCTTCAGACCATGTTTGGCCACAGAACGGATGTATTAAGTCGTACTATTGGAAATGTGCTTCATCACAAGAAAGGCCATTTGAGCAGCTCTCCTCTGCACCAGGACGTCATGGGCTGCCCACTTGTTATGTCAGTCACTGGGACTTTCCTGTACAGGATGGCGTCACTGGAAGTGCCCTGAAAGATCACGGCAGTCTGAAGGAACCTGTAGGAGCATCGTCAGTGACAACGCATGACGCACTGTAGGCCGACGGTGGCTTCTGCGTGGACTGCTGTTTACAGGTTGGACCTGTAGACAAGACACATCACAGAAACCAAGTCACCTCTCCCCATCAGTCATTGCTTTCAGTATGGCTTTGTGGCTGGTGACTCCAGTGTCAGAGGGAGCCCTGGATCCCTTCATGTAGTCCGTATTTGAAGGTGTTTTCTGATTCAGCCTGTGGTATTGGGGGCCTTTACAGCAGTGCCTCGGAATTTCACATCCCTGGAGAGAGTGATTGAGAGGGAGACAGAGCCGGACGCAAGCCTTGGAGCCAGGGCCTCTCTGGGAAAACGTTGAGCACATGGGATTCAAAATCGGTCAGATTCTTGCCAGACCTCTTCTGCTCAAGTAATTCCATTACATGTTTTTCATAACGGTAGCCCCTTTAACTTCAATAAACATGGTAGACATATTACAGTCTTCTTCCCTCCCATTTCCACTTAATTCTGCTGAGGCCTGCAGCCTGGTGAGTGCCTTACTGTAAAAGGCCTACTGGTTGCTTTTCCCATTTCCCACTTCCGTCCTTCCCGTAGTTCTAGACCTAGGGACTTTGGCTATCTAAGGTGTTCTTATAAAAATGTACTAGCATTGTATTGTGCAGGTGGCCTTTTAGTTGTGTGACAGACGTAGTTTCTGAGGCCATTGGCTCCTTCATTGGGCACTGCTGGGGGCTGGTGTCACCCAAACTCCCCCTACAACTGCTGGTTCTGAGGGCTGGCGTGGGCCTCAGCCTGCCTCGGAGCAGGAAGATCCAGACCTCGTGTCTGGAAGCTGGCTGGGACTGGAGCAGCTGGAGATAGCCACGTTTCCCTTGGTGACAATGAAAACAAGTATCAGAGAAAATGCTCTTAGCAATTCAAGTGTTTTGAAGGCAATATTTTGGCAAACTAGGCCGGCTTTTCAGGCCTACACAAATCTCTTGTCTAGCTACGTGTGTCCATGTAAACAAAGATAGAACAAAAAACGCCCTATTGTACTGGCATTTTAGAATAAGCTGTTACTCAGGTTGGGTGCAGTGGTGCATGTTTGTGATCCTAGCCACTCAGGAGGTGACACAGAATTGTGCTCCAAGGTCAGCCCAGGCAAAACTGAGAGCCTGTCTCAAAAAACAGGCTATATATGCCAGGCATTGGTGGCTCTCACCTGAAATCCTCCTGCAGAGGCTGAGCTCTGAGGAGCATGGTTCAAAGCCATCTGTGAGACTCTTACTTCCAGGTAAGTACCAAAATTGCTAGAAAACTTGTAGTGCAAGTAATAGGGCACTGGCTTTGAGCAGAAACGATCAGGGACAGTGCCCAGGATCAGCACAAACTGGAGAACTCAAAACAAAAACCCGGCTTTGTGAGGTGGTACACCTGTGTAATCTGTGCTACTCAGGAGGTAGAGATCGGAAGATCATGGTGGAAACTGGTAGAAAAAGGGGTAGGGTATGTCTTCAATGGCATAGGGCCTTGAGGCCTGAGAGGTGGAGAAAAAAATCAGAATCACATGTGTTTTGTGTAAGAGGATGTACTATTAATGTGTGTATATATGTATGGTCAGCCCTGCTCTGAAAAAAACGTAAAACCCAATACTTTTCACATTGCTTTTGAGGAAAGGTTTGAAGACTATTTTTCATGCAATGGGTGGATACTCTCAGAATCTGTTCATATTGTGCTCAAATGTAAGAAATAACATCGTCCATGTGTTGTCTGAGCTTTTGGTTTTGACTGACTGCTTGGGGGACTGGAATGAGTATCTGCTGTGTGTAGCGTAGACGTGGTCCAGAAGAAACAAGTTTGTATTCTGAAAGAGGTTTTAACAAGCTTTTGTTTGTGCTTTTATTTTGTTTGGTGACTCTGGCACTGTTATTAGTTGTTATTAGTTGGCCAGACTTGATTTCACTGGCTGAGTGGCATGGCTGAGATATTCCTTAATGTAACTGTGTTGAAGGCAGATGTTGGAGCATTCCTTTATCCTTCAGTCATGAGACATTCCTGTCTTTGTTTTTGTTCTTTGAGTTAAATAAACAAGAGCGTGAATAAACAAGATAATCTAAATTGCACTGTGTAACTTTTCTACCCCAGGTTAGCAGGGTAAGGAGTCAGGGAGTTGGGCAGTGTGTGTGTGTCTGTGTGTCTGTGTGTGTGTGGTTTCTTCCCAGGAAAGACGTCTGCCTGGATTCTGCAGTGTTGAGTGTTTACATTGTGTTCTGTTCTAAATCCAGCCAAGGGAACTTGGGTGTAAGTCCAGCCCCGCAGTTGCTGCTGGACTGACAGGGTAGATTCCTAACAGACAAAATAGGGAGAAGGCAAACAAGAACGTAGGGGAATGCAATCTTTTTCTTTGTCTGCCTCCTCCCCCTTTTTTTGGTGGTGGTGGTATTGGGTTTGAACTCTGGCGCCTCATACTCTATTGCTTGTTCAGCTGGCATGCTGCTTCTTGAGGCGCACTTCTATGCGAGAGCTTGTTTAGCCTCCAGCTTCTCCTCCGCCATCTTCCCCAGACTCCTCTTGAGGCACACTTCTAGCTCTGCTTTTTGCTGATCACTTGGGGATAGAGTCTCTGTGACTTTTTCTTCCTTAGCTGGCTTTGAAGTGCAGTCCTCCAGATCTTAGCCTGAGTAGCTAGGACCA